TCCCCTGTTGGTCTTTAATGGTATACCACACTATGTGTTCTGAAACGCAGGAGCTTCTGCAAAGCAGTTTTAATAGTTATACAATTAAAGGTCCACGCAGAAACTAAAATTTTTAAAACACTGCAGAAAGTACTGCTACAGATTAGTTTGGCATCAACCAAACAAGCATTTGTGCAATCTCAGTAGGGTTTCAAGAAACTCACGACAGTGGAGAGGAAGTAAATGCGACAAAACCATTTCCGGATCAATTTTTCGAACCTTGGGTATTTTTAAAAAATAATGTTTTCACAGCAAGGGGTTTTGCAACAAGGGAAAAAAAACTACGAAGGCTGCAAAATTGAAATGAGCTGCAGTCTGCCTGAAATAAATTTGCAACAAGTAACTGGTGAAAGAGACTGGTGTAAAAACAGATATATTTCTGTCATGGGTAGAGTGCAAGATAGAAATCAAACTTGATGACAGTTACCTGTTCACACTTACCTTCCCACACAAACACCAAGATGACAGATCAGCTTTTTTGTCACCAACATTTTTGTATATAAAAATACACACCTTTACACGGTACTGTAGTTATCAGTTATACCATTTCTTCATGGAAAACTTTCCATGAACTAAGACTAGTTTCACTTGAAACGGATACCTTGCTTAGATTAAACAAAGCAAATCTTAAAACTGAACCTACAGAATTGACTGCCACTGCGTTTTTTTATGGAGACAAATGGAAAATAACAACGTACAGCACGTGACCTTTGCTATGTGCTGTCAATAAGTGGACAGAAGGTCCAAATGCCAATCATGTTATGCTGCCATATATATTAAAGCATCTAAATGAGGAGTATATTTAAAATTACTACAGCTATTTCAACCTTGCAGTGGACTACAGGACATACACGTAAAAAGTGACATTTAGATGTCACTTTTAGATGGGACCACCTATGGCAAGGTCATTGCCTTAATGGTAAATGATGACATATGCATACTGTGTATCAGCAGTTTAAACATTAAATGAAACAAAACTGTGTCTAACTGGAGCCTTTCAGGAAAAGTGTGAAATGCAAAGTTCAGCATCCCAAATGAAGAGATTACTTACTGCTAAAACAGTGAAAATTTAAAATGACGAAATGTTCCCCTGTCTCAGGCATACAGACGGTTATATGTTTTCTATAGTTTTCTGGAACTTAGTCAATACAAGTATATGCTGCCATGCAAAAGTCTCGAAACATTCAAGTTTTCCCAACGCACAGCTGCCTCCAGCTCAATTCCTACCCCTGACGAAACATATCAGGGAACAAAAAATATCAGAATGAGTTACAGACAGCATAAAGCATCTTAAAAAAAGAATTGCTCACAGAGCAAAGTCATATTTATTGTAATTGAATGCCAGAAAGTACAAGGGTCATATTCATTCACACCTGTAAGTATTCCTTTGATTAACCTATCCATCCATTTTCTAAGCACCTCACCCCATTCAGGGTCACGGGATCCGGAACCTCTTCAGGCAAGCAGCAGGTGCAAAATGGGATACATCCTGGATGGAAAGCCAGTTCCATCACCGATCACACAGACATGTACACACTCACACCAGGGCCAAATGTTCATAGATGCCAATTAACATACCAGCATGTCTTTGGCCTGTGGGAGTAAACCCACACAATCACGGAGAGCATCCAGACTCCATCGAGATAACATTGCTGGCCTGGAACAGAACCCAGGGCTCAGCACTGAAGTCAGCAATGCTAACCCTGTGTGAATAATATGATCGTCAACAATCATCTCAAAGCCTTCACCAGGGTATTTTACTATTATAACATCTTTGATAGTTACTAATAAAGCCTAGTGCAGGTCAGAAGAAACCAAGCTTATCATTTAGCAATCTTTAATTCACATTGATTGGAAAGTTTAAAAATGGGATCATAACAGATGGTGAATTACACATGAAAAACCACAATGAAACATTAGCAGCTAGTCCATCACGTGTACCAATGGAATTTAATTGATGACTGAATGGCAGGTGATCCTCATCCTTCACATAATTTGTTTCTCTCTATACATCCGCAGGCCTAAATGGCCTCACTAGTGTTCTACAAAACATATATCAGGATTACCTGTTTGCTGAAAACAAAATGGCTGAAACCTACAATTCCATGTCGATCTTCAATTCATTTCTGCATAAGGATCAAAAAACATGAGCGAAAACAGCAGAACAATGCAAAAAGAATTTTGCTCAGCAGTGAACACAACTGCAGTAAAACACTGGAGCTAGATAGTTATCACTTCCTGTGTCATTCAGATATTTCTTGAAAGAGACCAAAGTGCAGAAACTTTGTTAGCTTGATCCACACTCGTTTTGTGAATATAAAAGCTTAACACCAAATACAATTTTATAGCGCAAGATGATGAACCTGCAGCAATACTTGTAATTCAGTGACACAAACACAATAAGAGAGAAGTACCCCATCCTTGTTAAGAATTGTAAACTTGTAATCAATGAACAAAAATGCTGAAAGGACCGTCTGTAACAGATACAAAGTACTAATTTCTGGTCCTCCCCCAAAATTACCCTAGGAAGAGACATACGCTATAAGGTAAAAAGTCATTTGGAACTTTATGCTTACACATTTAGTGTAATAGCACTAAGGTTAGACACAGCGAGTTCCCAATTCCCAAATTACCTCTAGCTCTAGTCATAGTTCTTATTAGGACAGACAGTGATCTGTTACCTGATCGCACGATCCTGAGCTGATGAGCAATGAATGCACCAAAACAAAACTGAATCTGTTTCTTTCATGTTGCCCCAGCTTTGCATCACCATCAATCAAGCACTGAGCACGGTCCAGCGCCAAAAGGGTGGTAAGCAGAAAGGGATCTAACCTTCCAAGTGTTGCAAATGGTAGAGGTGCTTGTCCAGTGCTAGTTGAGCTCTATGACCTAGGCGTCACGGGTACGAGCCTGCCTCAGTTCAGTAACCGAATGCCACCTGGATTCCCCGAGCATCTGGCACAAAATGAGTTGAGCTCTGCCATGGCATGGGTGGCAATTGCTGGCAGCGCTGTCAGTGAGGGACGTGCCTCTCTTCCAAATAAACCTGAGGGTTTTTCACGGGGATGTGGAGCCTGTGATGTGTTAAACAATGAGTGGCTTGGAGGTGGGCGGGCTGGAGGAGCCTTCCCACACTTCGTCAGGCTTGTGCAAGGGCGCGGGGTTCTGATCTTAACACGTCTTATAGAGACGGGAAAAACCCACACAGCTGGAGATTCCAAAATCTGGTGGCGATAAAAATAGTAATTGGCAATAATAAATGTATATTAAAAAAGGAGTACAGATTCTACTGATGCTATCATATCATTGCCCATTTTTGCCTTTGGCATCATGTTCTTGTGTGCGCAGAGTTTAAGTATGGTTAAAAGCTGGATTAATCTGCTTACAAGCACCCAGCCTGTGCATATCTTTATTAAAATGAAGCTTTTATTTCACATAAACCTTCTCAAGAAAGCGGCAAACTTTGACTGTAACCATATCTCCTTCCTTATTTTTTCCTGCATAGTATGCATATATAATTGGACATTTATCTTCTTTGAAAAAGCTAACTTGCCAATCTGAGAATAGCTTTGATTGCTTTTATTTTACAAGATGTAAAAAGGGCAGAGCGAACTGCCACCGATGTTAATAAAAATAAACTTGGCATTCGAGCTTCCGATATTAAGTAACATAACATAAAGTGGCTAGTGTGGTCTTTTGTGACATTATAGGTTGGAAATATTTTAATGAACAGAAAAGGTCTATAAATAAACAAAGCTAATTGTCCTTGGGGGGCTCAACAAAGTTAAAACAGAGGAAGGATTTAATCATTTAAATCACAGTTGGTTTCAACATGCATGGAGCTATTCTTGAAGTCAAAACTCCACAACATAGGCACAACATTTTGAAAATGGATGCATTTTTCCCCATTGACAGGAAGTTTCTAATACTGCGTGCATTCCTCACTGAGCTTCAGATCAAACAACATTGACATTTGAAACTTATATTCTCTTCTGCAGAAATTTAACCGTTACCTTTTGCAGAAATGGATGCCAAAAATAGTCCAAGACTAATAATATCAACTACAGGACTGCACACACCTGTTGCATACAGAAAATCTATTGCCCGCAATTGAAATGCTTTATTCTACTGCAAGGTTATAGTTGTGGAAGTACCATGAGGGTCTGAATAGATGTTCTGAGAGGAAAGCTGGTCTAAGGACTGTTGCTGCTGAGCTGCTGAAACAACAAGAGGTAGACTATGAATTATGACCCCCTGAGTGCTTATACTGATGTTGGGAACCATGAGATTGCCACCTTCATTAGATGTGGAGTCACTGTGAACAACAACAGCTTGCTTCGAAGTCAAGTCTTGCAAAGGTGGGGAGATGATTGAAGGCGTCGTTATAGAAGACGGCACGGAAGAGTTGGGATTTCCTTCTGTCACTACAGTCACTTCTGTGCCTCCTTCCTGAATCAAGGCGTTCAGGCCTTCGAGGTCCGAGCAGGTGGTGATGAAGGTTTGGCTGTTGTTGGAGTCCTGAGAGGTTACTGATGTGGTCTGGATCAGAGCCTGGTGGAGAGAGTCCTCCGAACTGGGAGCAATGTGTGTCAGGAGAACCGTCTGGTGCTCCATGGGGACCTCATTGTGAGGTACCATGTGCTGGACGGGTGTTAACAAATTGACCTGCTGTATCATAGAATTGGCACTGCCTTCTCCCTGGTTATCCGAATTCAGGAGCACAGAGTCTCCCTTAGGCTGCTGCACATCAACCGATGCCTGAACAAATGTGCCATCCTGGCCGAGCGAGTGGCCGACAATGATTTTCAACTGGGCGTCTCCGTAGGAGGACACCTGGTTGGAATGCAAGGGCATCTGAAGCTGACGGATCGGAGACTCCGGGCATGAAGCATCCCTGGGGTTCATCTGGAGCTGCAGAAAAGTCAGCTGGGCATCACGGTGCTGCTTCTTGTGACTCCGCAGGGAGTCCTCCCGAACGAACGAGGCATCGCAGGCATCACAGCGGAAGGCGCGGGCAGCATCCAGCTTCGCCCGGTAGCGGGAACTGACCTGCCTCTGGCCTTCTTCCCCCTTGGCGCCTTTGCCGTGCCTCTCCTCCACCTTGTCGGAGTGAAACTTCTTCCTGTGGATGATCAGGTTGCTGCGCTGCTTGGTGTCGAAAGTGCAGAAGTCGCACTTGAAGGGCCGGTCCTCCGAGTGGATCCTCTCGTGCACCTTCAGGGCCCCCCTGCTGGAGCAGGAGTAGCTGCACTTCAAGCACTTGATGGGCTGCGCGGGCTGGTGCTCGCGCGAGTGCTGGCGGAGGGCTGTCTTGTTCCCGCACTGGAAGTCACACTCCGAGCACCTGAAGGAGTTCTCTGTGCCGTGCTTGATCTGGACGTGGGATTTCAGGTTGCCCTTCATGGCGCAGCGGTAGTCGCAGAACTCGCACTTGTACGGTTTCTCCCCTGAGTGGATCCGGATGTGCCTCTTGAGGTCGGAATTGATTTTGAATTTCGCTTCGCACTGATGGCACTGAAAAGGGGCATCTCCTGCGATCAGAGGAAATGGAGCAATCAGAGAAAATGAATGAACAAAAGTATCACCTGCAGAGCCCTAATTGCCACGTCCATTACCGAACTTCGGCACTGCCAATACTTAATGTAAGTAACACGGTGGCCCTTAATTTCTTAAATCTTTTTTACCTATAACCAGGCTGGGATGAGCAGTAACAACTGAGATTTTTGATCTACCAAGCACCTAATTTAAATAACAATTCAACACTTAGTACATAAGATATAAGTTTATATATGGCATATTAAAAAAAAAAACATATGTGAAAAGGCAAGTGGCTTATGTGCAATTCACTGTTATAGATTTAGCTGGAAAACAGAATTAAATTTGTAAACTACCTGGGCTTCAGAGAAAGACTAATCTACCAGGTCTCTTGAGGCACAAGAAGACGATAAGCCCAGTGGGAAATTTCAATCATTTACTGAGAGAAGTGCATTCCCTTTGGAATTCCATTCAAAATCTACAATAGCAGTGAATCCGAAACCTCGTTTTTGTGAAACCTGTCCCTTCTCACACTCAGCATGAGTTTAAGATGCCCTATATGGGACTTTTCTTTGCATCATGTAGGAGAGGTCAGAGAGGTACAATTATAATTACTACTAGTAAAGTAATTTATTATCATTGTTGTGTTTTGTATGCTTTTGGACAGACATTTATTTATATTCAAGAAGGTAGCTGTGTCAGCATGCATAGGCTGCAAAGGAACAAGTAAAGGTTTATTTCTTGCTGAAAAGAGAAGAAAAGAAACAATGTTTCAGCTGTGGAGCTTTCTTTGAGTTTCACCTAAAGAAGGCTCCACAGCCGAAACATTGTGTTTCTTTTCTTCTTTTCAGCACGGAATTAAGTACATTAACTTGTTCCTTACTTATTTATATTGAATGTTTATGGACGCTGAATCATTCTACACTATGCAATTCCTGGACTATGTCACTTTTTACAGTCCAGAAGCTCTTTGGGAGCCAGGTGGCTGTGAATGAAAGCACCAGCTAAATAAAGTGCTCCGATCGTGCCCAGAGCTCACCGGTGTGCGAGCGGAGGTGCACGGTGAGCTGGCTGGAGTTGCGGCTGGCGTAGGGGCAGATCTGGCACTTGAAGGGGCGCTCGTCGTAGTGGATGCGGAGGTGCTTCTTCAGGCTGCTGCTGTCGGCTGCGGCGTACGCACAGTGTTTGCACTTGTGCGGCTTCTCTCCCGTATGGGAGCGGCTGTGCATGGTCAGTTTGTCCCTCCGGCTGAATCTCTTACTGCACACCTCGCACTGGAAGGGTTTCTCACCTTCCAGGGTTAGGGAGACAAAAACACCAGGGCTGGAATTAGGACTGCGAGGACCCGACATGCATTTGAAACGTTTATTAACAAGTTCGGGTCAAGTAGGATCACACATTCTTGGTCAATTTGGCATTACAAAGCACTTTCTAATGTCCTCCTTTTTTCTACAGAAAGAAAGTTAAAGTTATAAAGATTAAAGTTAAAAATAGTTTTAAAAATAGCGATTACCAAATGACAGATTTCTGTGAACTGCCTTATCCTGTCCTCACTTGTTACATACCACACAAAGTATTGCCCACGTTGCAAACAATACTGGAATAACTGTTGTGCTTTGTGCACATTCATTTACTATACTCCTTTTTCAGATAACACAATTATGAAAAATCACAAACTGAATGAAAGTACAAGAAGAATGGAATTTATAAGTGTTGTGCACGTCACAAATTTTACATCACTATCCTTCCCTATGGACCAACTATCAGGTTTTCAGACTTTTCTGATTTTTAAATTGATCTGGAAAGCATCTAAAAGTGTGCAAAATTTAAAAAAGAATATCTAATGAACACTACCTTCCTTATATGTGTAATATTTTGGAAAAAACAAGCAGTCTTACCAGTGTGGGTTTTAAGATGTCTTTCCATATCTTTCTGACCATACTGTGTTTTGAAGGAACAACCTAAAAACAGATCAGATTACAGCAAACAATGAAAGGAGCGTATAGGGAAAATTTCTACCATGCTTCACTTGAATCGGTTATTCTCCAGCTCTTTTAGCTTGATTAATATGGCTTATCATACTAATTTATCATTTCTATATTTTGGATGTTCAATGGAGTATGAACGGTGAGGAGGTGTGGCTAGTGCTCTTTACTCATACCTGGAAGGTTGAAGATTCAAATACCAGGAGAAACATTTTTGCACTCCTGTACAAGGTACTACACTCAAAATGCTCAATTGTAAAAATGGATACAAATGCAAGTCACTTTAAATAAAAGCATCAGTCAAATAAATATCACTAATATTAATGAACAGTGATTCATTCCAATGCGTAGTAGTAAATGTTAATTAATTCTGTTCAGACAAAGGCTTCCATATTTACCTATGGAGATACATGTTTATGAAGCTGCAGACTTAAGTAGCATAAAAACAAACAGAAAAAGGAGTAAATTAAGCACTCATATTTTCAGCTACAGCTTAAACAGTTGGGTTCTGTCTGAGGCATCTTTTATTTGTAATAAGAATGATAAATAACACTGGAAATATTTATAAACAGAGCAGTGGTATCACAGCCCCCCAAAGACATTCTCCCTGAAAATGCCAATCGTTAATCAACTTGACTTTACCAATACGGACCTTGATCCATCTTGGGATGGTTGGAGATTGTGTATACTCTAAAAGACCAACTTGTTAGACCCATCAGCCATTTCTCGCAATGCATTTCCCATGTTGCCTACAAGAGAGTTAGCACTGATGGGGGATAACAGTGAAAGCTCAAAGTTACCTCACATTACTGTTGTGCAGTAATCAGTGCATACATTGTCCCACTCAATCCTGGTGGTATGTGACAAATTGTACACCACCATTTGGTAAATACCAGTCTAAAACTTCAGTACTTTACCAGAAATACCAGAAGCTTAGTCCTACAAATGGGTCAAATAGGTAACTTGAAACCACAAGGTAAACTTCTCAGTTGACAGGGAACAAGGCCTCCACTCAGTAATATGGAAGGGATGCAGAGCCAGGCAATAAACATGGAGCTACCAACCTGAGAAGCAGCAGCAGAGTTTCTTTGAAGTTAGGGCTGGTTTTAACTTTTTGGAAGGTGTTTTAGGTGCTTTTGTCTGGATCTTTTTGACACCTCTTGGAGAACAAGCCTGGTATGTTTCTTCAAAAACAAATTCTGAGCTGGAATCTGTTTAAATAGAAATAGAAACATAGTTTGCAAGACAAGTGCTGATCATGCACCAACTTAATCAGTGCAGCTACAAGATTTTGCCCTGAATAAATCTGACAATTTGCCATCTATTCATTGACAATTCATTTGTTGGACCTGGGCAGTGGTGAGATACCTCTATTTTCCATGGTTCTGTGGTCTATAGTATTAGTGGATCAGTAGGTGCTACTCTTCATGCCAGACCAAAATGTCCAACAAACGAATGCTCCACTATGGTGAGCAGGAACACTGTGTTGTAAAAGGTGTCATCCTTCAGATGAGAATTTTAACCAAGCTCCTGATAACTTTTTCATTCCAGATCCCATGACGCTGTTCAAACGAATAAGGGAAGATGGAGAGTAAGTTTCTCCCTTAACCCTACTGTTGAAACAATTTGTCAATTGATCTGCTGTGACTACAGATGAAACATAATGACTTATGTCAAACAGCATGTTGGAATCCACTGGGATTATAAGCACTATATATGCAATTAATAATTATTTTAATGGTATACCAAATCTTGGATCACTTAATGTTCAAAAAGTCTAAAGTACAACATAGCTAGCGCCCAGAAAGCCAATACACCCACAAGATCACTGCTGATCCAGCAGGGGTAAACATGAAAAATCAATTGTTCTGTGTTTTCTTGCACAAAATGCTTACCTGTATTTTAATGAGGAGGAAGCCTCACTCAAATTGAACATAGAATATAAACGGGTTCACCAATTGCTTCTGGTCATAAACTGTGAATAATAAAAGCTTGCCAACTTCTTGCTATGGCACAAAATAAATACAACACTCATGCTTACTGGATTAAATAAAATACTGTAAAGAAATACATCAACCAAAACACAGATAATGTGAATGAAATTACAGATCAAAGAATCTTGATACATTTTCAGCATGGAACATGCTACATGGTCAAAATGAAAACATTAAGATATCAGTATTGTTTATGGCTTTCTGTGCATTAACACAATCTGGACAGCATTGGAACAGACCTGATTAGTCTCTCGAAAGACTGCTAAAGGTTGTACAGATGCAGTCTGCTGACAAAGGCTGGCAAGTTCCAGCTGTCTTACTGGTGACACTGGCGAGTTGGTTGCACAGTTGAACTTGGGCAACAAGAAGACCTCAACATTTGTAATAGTGGCACTGTAATCGTAGGACTGGGAGGTCTTGCACTATCCTGCTGGTAAACAATCCCAAGCTGGCTTGCAGGTTTACAGAAATAGTTGTCTTTTGAACTCTGTCAATGTTATCAGTGAACAGTTGTCCTCGATTGGCACAAAAAGTGTTCTTGTGTTAAAGGAGATTCCTCCCTGAGCTGTCACAGGTCTATAGATGCACTTCTTGGCATGGACAACCCACAGTCAGCATAACGTTCACCACGATATCGCCACAGACCTGGTTTTCCATCAAGTCAGTCTTTGCCACCACCTCAGATGTTCACTGCCTCACAGAAGATGGAGATTTCAGCTGTCCGATGTCAACATGTTGTCCCTGGATGACCTCCCAGCATGCATATAATTTTAAATGTCAATGGAAAACTACTATCATTTAGCTGACATGCGTTTTCCTTCTTTCTGGAATTTCTCCTACTGTAACCACTGCAGTCCAAAAATGGCTCCCTAGATGTAGCAAATGAAGGGGAGACTCCTAAACTCATTCTATAAGAAATAATTTCACAACCAACCTGCCTTCAATAATGCTGACAGGCAACCAGGAGATTGTCATATCCATATCCTCACACTACCAGTTTTAATTCAACTAAAATACAAAACTGAACTCCTGGTGTTTTTATGAAATCACATTTCTTCAGATCAATGTTGGTAATGCAAGGAATACTATTACTCAGACATAAATTTAGGCATTATGGGACTTTACGTTTACAGTAAGAGAAATGATGGTGCATTCTGCATTAAGCTGTCACTTAATTGAGGGGGTGGAAAATACAAAAAAAACATAGCACAAAGCACTTAACATACTGGTTAAAAAACACTGTTGTTAGCAGGTTTCGACAAAGCTTTACTTCTGACGAACATTTTCAGAGTTTGATCATCACCGACATTTTTCTACATCAAAGTGATGTTTTGTGAATTGTTTAAGTATAAATCCTTTAATGCATCACCTTGTGACAATTATTTCAAAGCCTGTGGTTTCTGCTGTGGTACTTCATATGAAAGAATCAAAGGTAATCAAATCACATACACACACAACACAAACAGCCACAGACAAAAACAATACAATATTTAACACAACCCTAATGTACCATCCTGGAAAATCGCACAGAAATATAGACAAAGGCCCACTTTTTTCAGAAAAACATTTACATCAAACGAAAACTTAGCATTCATATAACACCCACTCCTGTCACCCACAGAGCTATACCTCCTTGCTAGAGATGTTTAATATTGCTAAAACATTTCAAACAAAAGATTTTTTAAGTGAACAAATAGCAATCCACAAGATTTGTGATCTTAAAACTGTGCTGCATAGTTTCTCATAAATATGACATTTTTAAACTTCTATTTTTACATTTACCTGTAATAGTGTGCACAATACTGCGGGCAGGAGGCTCTGATGTAGACAAGTGACATCCATTTTGCTTGTGGGCAAGGAAGGCTTCAAAATTGTTGTACTGATGCTTGCAGACTCCACAAATGTGAATATCGGGACCAACTTCGACCACTACTTGTGTTGCTCCAGAAACTGCAAATGCAAGAAGTAATAAATTACTCTTTTTTTAACCTGAAAGCTAAAAAAAAGTATGACAGAGTAAAAAAAAAAACTTTTCTAGAAGATGAATAGGATCGGGTTAAAAGGTGCGATAACAGCAATAGATTCATGCAGCTAATCCACTGTTTCAAACTTTTGAGATTCTTATTGTCAACATGTGATTACATACATGTGATTTAATTTACTGTTGGTCAGGAAACTTTAAGGAGATCTATGTCATCCATCTCCCACTCTTATTTTCAATAGCTTAAATTAACATAACACATAAGTAAAACTTTCGTAGAGGAAGTGGAAGATAAAAGAGCAATTACAGTAGGTACTCGAGGAAGCAAAAAGTGTAAACACACCACGCGATAAATTCATTGTGCTTCGTTAAATGCCACTTTGAAACAAAAAATACATTCATGCATTCCAGTTTTTGATGAATAAATTGCAATTGAAATTCACTGAAATGCCATTATGTTTTGTAAAAGTTTAAGTCTACTTTTACACTCGATACTTATACTTTATACACTAATGAATTCTGTATTTCGGATGACGTATTACGCTATAACACTATATGGGTTTTGATTATATGAACCACTGGCACATAGTTTATGTAGCCGCATGACTTGGCAAGCTTTCGAATGGTAGTTCATTATGTTTGTACTATGATGATAAGTATGTGCATTTCCACCCCTTTCTCTTTAACTTTCCATTTGCAGAAACGTAAATAAGTTCCGCCGACACGAATACTGTCCGTGACAGATAAATCAAACAGCGAAAGACCTTAAATCTTTGTGTTTTGTTTTATTTTTTGGTTGCTTCAAGAGCGTAAAGCGAGTGGTGCACTTACCATCCGCGTTAAACGATGCCATGTATGGAAACACTCACTGCCTCCTTCTAGTTTATGCAAACTTTAGACAAATACTTTCTTGACAGGTAGTTTAATTTCTTGCCCGATGAGATGATGATCAACCACTGTTCTCTATTCACTTTTACAACGGGAGTCCTGCAGTTAATACCCATTCCCATGTTCCTGTCTGAAGCATTCCTCGCACGGCTTTTTCACGACAATCGACGCCTCCTTTCCGGCAAACTTTTGCAAGTGCATTAGTTCATGCGTGCAGAGGAACTTGCTTGTGGGGAAGTTCTTAAGTTTAGATTAATATGCAGATTTTCTTTAAAAAATAGTGGTGCTGGTAATATTACAAAATTGATTTATTTTTAGAGCAATTTGACAGTGTAGGTTTACATATTTAATCATTTAAAACGTTTATACATAATATTTAAAACCCACCGTATAATAGTTACTCATTCCTTAAAAGGTTTGAACCCTGCTTAATCTTTTTCGTATTTATCTTAGTCATGAGACATTGCTAAACCTAGAGTAAGACAAACAAGACTGTATTCTGCCTCAAAGCCCCATGTTCTTAAGAAAACCGCACTATATTTTTGTATAAAATTTGTGAAATAATCGGTGAACTTTAATTAATATTTTAACACTTTTACTCTGTCCCTTGAGCCAGAAGTGATAATATTCGTGCGGGGAACAATTTCAGTTAGACCAGCTCTCAAGAGCAGTAATTGTGGAAATGAACGTGTGAAGTTGGATAGGAAAAGATATTCCACCTGCAATAAGGTATACAGAAAATAGTTCAACCGCAAAATGCTTTAATCGAAAATTAATATCTGTAAACATTTTCCTGTACAACAATGCTTAATGTAATCAAATTCGAAACAAAGGCACGGGTATCGTGAATTTGAATTATTCCTGCTGAAAGCGACTTTGTTCTGTGAACTCGTTTGCATGACGGCAGCTGTGACTTCCGGCTGCGTACGCAGCTAATACGGCAAGCTTTGGTCTAATGTCTATGTACATTATCTGATTTTGAAGGTAAAAAACGGTAAAAGACGAATCACGTGAATGCATCTCTACCCCCCCACACACAATCACTTTGATATTTTCTTTCGTGTAGCCATGCTGACTTTTGGAAAAATAATGTGAATCGTATCTGAGGTTTGGGAAGAGCAGCATAAACTTAAAAAAAATGCGACAAATGCCTCACATACTATATGCCTTTCCGTGCCTCACATAATATAAGATATAGCCATTTCCTATTTAAGCTCAGAGCCCTATCGGTACAGTGCTACTAAGAAAGGCCTTTGTGTCCAGTAAGCTTCGTCCAGACGATAGTGATGAGAACAGCAGGTTGGACATACTTGCTGTACTGCAGTGATAACTGTATAAAGTGTATACTGAGCTTTACAAATTTAATTGGATTTGCATTTATGAATGGTATTATTCACAAGGTTCACTGTTGTATGTAGCATAATATAAATGCTGCAGGGGGAGCTCTTGTATTATAAGAATGATTTAATAGAGTACGCTTGAGATTCCTCTATATGGCAGTTTAACACGTGGTGAATGAAAAAAAAACAGCACCCAGTCCAAAAATAAAATCTTCAAATAGTCGCGCTGGATGACTTCTGTTAATAATAACAAACTTTAACCATTTAAAGCTATATTGTATACAGAGAAGCCTTAAATAATTCCCTTAAAGCCACTAGAAAACAAACGTGGAAAGGCAGTGAAGAAGAAAAGAATGCAATTACAAAGTGCATATAAAATCCATAAACTAAATCTACACAACTGAGATATAAAACAACAAACAAAAAGGTATGAAATGAGAGCGATAATAACAGACAAACAATTGTACTTCTTCTTGTCAGTAAACATTCACAGTCTAGGCTGGGAAAAGTATGTGAACCTCAAGGCTAATGACTTCTCCAAAAGCTAATTGGAGTCAGGTGTTCCAATCAATGAGACGAGGTGTGGGTTGGAGGTGCCCTGCCCTTTAAAAAAGGTATACAAAGGTTGGTTACTGATCTTATCAAGAAAGAGTTGTTTGTGTGAACTGTGTTCTGATCAAAAGAAATGTCAGAGAACCTTGAAGAAGAATTGTAGAGATGCATGAAGTTGGACAAGGCTACAAAAGCATTTCTAAAGAGCTGAGTGTTCCTCAATCCACAGTAAGACAAATCCTCTACAAATTGAGGAAGTTCAGTACTGTTGCTACTCTCCCTTGGAGTGGGTGTCCTGCAGAGGTCGTGGCAGGAGTGTAGTGTGTAATGCTGAAGGAGGTGGGGAAAAACCCTTTTTCAGAAAACTCTTGAACTTGCTTTAGTCTCTGTTCGTGTGTCCATTATAAGAATAATGTAAAAAAAGGTTATTGTATGAAAATGCATTCAGTGTGAGAACCAATTCTGCAAGGCGTACCAAGGTGTGGGTGGGTGGATCAAGCACTGTACTTTTGTCCAGTGTGTGCTTGAGGGCTGTAAGACTGTCATTATGGGGAACGACAGTGCAAAGAGATGTGATTTCCATGGTAAAAATGTAGCTTTCGGGGCCCTGAAATTGGAAATCATTACAAAGTTGGAGCGCATGGTTAGTGTCCTTGACGTATGAGGGAAGACCTTCAACCAGCAGTCTCATAAGGCTGTGGAGAAAGGCCTAGATGTATGTAGTGGAACAGTTGCATGCCAATACGATGGAGTGTCCAGTTTGCGGATTTTGGAGAGGAGGTAAAATTGAGATACCTGGGGATGTTCAATGTTGAGCTGGTTCGCCTGCTGGGAGAGCTCCTTACCGTTGATAAGAAAGGAGATGGTGGAAACCACTTCCTTTTGGTAGCTAGTGGTAGGGTCCTGTTGGAGAGGGAGATAGACAGAAGTGTCAATTAGTTGTCTAGAGGCTTCAAAAATATATTTGTTGAATTGAGAGTCCTAATGAGGCTAGTTATAAAGGGAAGATGATGTGGAGCTGTCAGCCGTAGAAATTCCTTAACCTCTTTGATGTTGTTCTCGGAAAGGATGATTTATTTCTTTAGGGCGAAAATGGTAGAAAGCATTCGCTTCCTAGAAAATTGTTGTTGAAGTACCTGAGCGTTACTTTGGGTGGTATAAGAGTCAAAAGAAATGTATAACATTTCAGGTGAAATCCTTTAGGAATTATATTATGTTGATGACATATGTAAAGAAATAGAAGGTGGTTGGAAAGTCTGGTCTTGGAACAGGTCACTGTGAAGAGGTGGAATGCTGGTTTAAGAGAGGGGAGAAAGTGAACAAGGCAGGAAGAGAAGGAATGACGAAGAGACCTAGAAAAAGATTTGGAGGAAGGCATAGTAGGTCACAGCAGATGTAGGTTGAGGTGGGTAGTTCAGGTGGGTAGCAGAGTCAGAAAGCGTAGGCTGCAAAGGAACAAGTACTGTTTGTTTCCTTGCTGAATAAAGAAGAACCATGGACCGTGAGGCCTTCCTCAGGTGTGAGAAAGACAGGGCAGTAAGTGAGGGTAATGTGACTATTGTAAATTGACAATTTATTAGGTATTCCCGAGTCTTATCCTAGCTAAGCCCAAAAGAATGCTCATCGAGAACACCATTCAATGTGAGATTTCCATTAACAGTTTACTTGACAAAAAACAAAATTTAAGCATTGATGATGCTTTCTCATTGATTTGGGGAGGTTGCTATGTGGGTTCTCACTGTTGTTTTCAATTGCTGAAGTATATTTTCCCTTGAAATGAGTAGAAGGTGGCATTGATATTTTGAAGCTGGTCTGAGCCCTGACCCTAACCTTCCCAAACCTAAGCTAGGGTTAGGGTTAGAATTCCCACAAAACATAGACAAGTTGTGATGGCATGGGTATGTTTCAGGACAGAAATGAAATGTAGGAAAAGTGGTATTTCCAAGTTAGCTTCACATTTGTTTTCTTCCTAGTATGGCTCTATGCACTGTATTGCTCTAAAAG